GGTCGCAAGCTATAGAGCATTCTATTGGTGCTTTGAAAATGCTGATTAATAGTATCTTCTTTGGAGATTTTAACCAAAAAAGTGCATCTAGAAGGTTAGAATTCGTATCATTTGAAGGCTTATGATTTTATGAACTATTTGCAACTCTGCCATATGCTTGTATCAGATTTTACATTCGTTTAGATCAAGGGCTTTTTGTCCTCTAGTTTGAACAAATGGGGAGACTGAAAGTAGAATGTGCCATAGATGATTGTTTTTAATTTGTTTCACCGTGTCTAACAATTTTCTTGATGTTATTTTTCAGGTCATCCATGGATTTGCAAAAGTGGAGTTGCTCCTGACAGGGCGCTGGATCCAGCTGTCATGTCCCGTATCAAACAGTTCTCTGCTATGAATAAATTGAAGAAGATGGCTTTGCGGGTATGATATTATGATATGCATTTGTACAAAGATGCATACCATAATGATTTTGATACTTGCCAGAACTCAAAGCACGGCATACTAGTGCTATTCAGATTCCTTAGGAAGAAAACTGATAATTAAATGAGCAGAATCAGAAAATACCTCTCGAATCAAATTACCTTAAAATGCATCTTGTTGGGGAATTGAGTAAATTTAAGGACATTTATGGATATTCATTTTGGTTCAAGCATGCACTCAAAAACTTCAAAGTAATCTTACTACAGCATTAAGTCTAATTTGTGTTTTTGCTGCCATCAGGTAATAGCTGAAAGCCTTTCGGAGGAGGAGATTGCTGGTTTGAGAGAAATGTTCAAGGCAATGGACACTGATAATAGTGGTGCAATTACATTCGACGAACTGAAAGCTGGCCTGCGAAGATATGGCTCCACAATGAAAGATACTGAGATCAGAGATCTCATGGATGCAGTGAGTAGTTTGCTTTAAAGCGAATATTTGTTTGTCTATGGTGTTCACACCTGAATGCTTTTGAAGTTCATCGCTTTTCCTTGAATGACATTGTGGCTTACATCACTTTCATCATCTTTGCTCTTTTGTTTCTCACATTTTTCCTTTTAATTCATTAAATTCATTCTAGTTACATTTCCGAAATACCTCATTGTTGTCCCCAGTTTGCTTTGACAAATTTGAATGAGTAGGGACATACTTTAGTTATCAAGGCTAGTTATGCTTGTTGAGAAGGAACTAATTATGATTGGAGAAAGATCCTTACTTCTATGTATTAATGTGAATGTTTAAGTCTATTCAAACTACTCTTTCTTCTTCTTCAATGGCTGAGATTTAAGTGAAGTAATAACTAAATGGGGCAAGTTAGGGGCTGACTGACTGGCTGAGATAAGTCACTTGGTTAATGATGTGAGATTGCCTTTTTACTTGACCTAAAACCTCTAGCATTTTTTTGTCCACCTATGTTGTTCTGTCATTTTCTAAGTAAATGAATTTACTGCTCAGGCCGATGTGGACAACAGTGGAACCATTGATTATGGGGAATTTATTGCTGCGACAATTCACCTTAATAAACTAGAACGTGAGGAACATCTCGTTGCGGCATTTCGATACTTTGACAAGGACGGAAGTGGTTATATTACTATTGATGAGCTTCAGCAAGCATGTGTGGAGCATAATATGACCGATGTCTTCCTTGAAGATGTCATCAAAGAAGTCGATCAAGATAATGTAAGTCAACTTAAACCGCCAAGGCGGAACATCCCTACTTTTATTTCTTTGAATCGCAAGCTAGTTTTCAGGAAATCTACATTAGCATGTCAGGGAACAAAAGAAGACTTGATGGAGACTCTTCAAATCAATGTATAGAACCGTAGATCAGACATTGTGTATCGTCACAAGTGTTGACTGGAGGGTTTGACATATTAACATGATCTCTTTTGTCTCAATTTGTTGGTAAGCTTGTTCAAAAAAAATTTGCAGTGTCTAGGAAAAGATTTGTCTTGTCTAGGGTCATATGCCACATCTGATGTGATGCTGGCATTTAGACAGTGGGGCTAAGGGTTCGAATCAAATCGATCCCTTTGTAGTAGTAGTTTGTGGAAGCTGTGAGAATCTCTCCTATGCGGCTAACAACCGGTCCCTTTCTCATTCTGTCTTTCCATTTATCTGCCTTTCTATTAGTAATTGTAATATCTTGAATTCTTATCGTGGATGCTGTAGCCTCGTGGAACGTCCGCTCATTGCTGATATCATGCCTTCTGTTGACATCACGATGTTGGAATTATCTTATCTTTGCATTATGTATGACAGGATGGAAGAATCGATTATGGTGAATTTGTTGCAATGATGCAAAAAGGAAATGCCGGTATTGGAAGACGAACCATGCGAAACAGTTTGAATATAAGCATGAGGGATGCACCCGGGGCCCTTCAGCTTCCAAAGTAGGAGACCGGTTCTAAGGTAGCTTCTCATAGCTGGGAACTTTACTTTTGGTTCAAGATTATCAATGGAAAGAGTAAAAATAATTATTAAACACATTCGATTTCTCAATTCGAAATCAGCGATATGGGCAAGTGTGCCTTAACATTTCTCTATCTCATCTCGGATATAGTCTTATAGCTTTGTTCTGGCTCCGGAACAGGTTGAGCAGCCAAAGAAGAGTTGCAGACTTGTTGCCAACTGCAAGACGCGGGCGAATTCTAATTCCTTCCTCCCCCTCCCGTATCTATCTCTCGGAAAGCCCGCGATGCTGGTGAGCATCTGGGCCATCGAGAGGCTCCGTGGCTCGAGTCCTGCTTTTTTACCTTGCTATGTTGCTGCATAACTGCTAAGAAGTGTCTGTTTTTCCTAGTGTTGTGAGCTTTTGCCTGTAGTTGTATAGCTATTGCTCTCTGAATTCCAGTATGTAGAATAATTTGATTTGAGAGAGTTCCTTCTTCTTCTTTATGAGGACCTGTGTATGGGGTTTTAATTTTTTGGTAAAACCATGCAATGTGTCGAGGATAATGAAGTTGGCTTATACCAATATTTGGTTATCTTATACTTGCCGGGAATGTGTTTCTATAGTCTTTAAATATTACTCCAAGTAAAAAAAAAGGGGGTATCTTCCTCGACAGTGGAAGACTCATATGCAACGGGGCTTGACTTAGGCTGTGTTCGTTTGCGGAAAAATATTTTTCCGGAAAATATTTTCCGCGTTTTCCGGTGTTCGGGGGCGGAAAATGTTTTCCGTGGGAAAACATTTTTACTTGCCGGGAATGTGTTTCTATAATCTTTAAATATTACTCCAAATAAAAAAAAAAGGGGGTATCTTCCTCGACAGTGGAAGACTCATATGCAATGGGGCTTGACTTAGCGAGTTATTATTTATACTAGGATACACATCACAAATGAAAAAAATTCGCATGTCCGTGCTGCACGCGGTTGGGGAGATTGGTTCCTGGCCTGGTCTGGTCTGCTTCCAAGGTGGAAACGGGAACCGGACCGGAAGGACTAGTTCTCAATTTTGGGAACCAAGGACCGGATTGGTTTGTCCTAGAACCGGGAACCAAATTGGACTAAGTTCTAGTCCGTTCAATGGAACCGGTTATTTAGAGTTTAGTTCACATTTTACAGATTTTTTTGAAGAAATAAAAGAAAAAAGTATATTTAGTTGGTCTGATTCCCCCTTGGGACTGGGAACCGTACAGCTCGAACACCGATTTCACTTTTAAGAATCGGAAATTAGACCGACACTCTCGGGAATCGGACCAAACTGGCCGGTTCGGTCGGTCTGGGCGGCACACCCCTAACACACAAACATGCTGCTAGTGTGATCGGAGTCATGAAAGACAAAACTCGTTTTTATTATGCGTGATTAACAAGTGTCTACGAGCACCCGTTTACGTTTTTAAGAACTATGTGCGTATGTTTCGGATGACTTTCATGTATCTTTCATTAAATAAAACTTAAATGACTGGCTCGTTAATTTTAAACTCGGGAAAAAAACTACTTAAAAAAAAAAAAAAGCATATCACGCGTGGGGCAAAAATTCATAAGTCAAAACTCTCGGATTAATGACGAGCAAAAATATGTTTATAATATTAAAAAAATAGAAAAATACGTATGTAAATGGTTTTATACGTCGGTATTCGTAAAACTCAAAAGGCTTGAGGTATTTCACATGAAATAAATTTTCCCAATTGGCGAAATTTCAAGAAGTCCGACCCTTTTTTTTTTATATTTTCTGTTTTTCCTATTTTTGTATTTCTTTCCAAGGAATATGGAACGGAATGGACCACAATGACCCCGGCCCCGTGTGCACCGACGCTTTTCAATTTAAAGCGAGCAACCAAATTCGTCCTACGTGGAATTACTTTTATACATATTTTATTTTACCAATTTTACGCCGCTCGGCAGGCTCGCTCACTTTTCCTCACTAAAGGGAAATTTCCGCCACGTGTCGCCATTTCGCTCCCTTGACAAATTTTTAGAGAGGTGCTTCCAAAATCGAACGAGACTTTAATTATAAATTTCGTAAGATTTTAATCTTATTAGAAATTAAAAGGAATCGAAAATAAAAATATACTTTTTTCTTTTTTCTTTTCCATCTCTTGACATCACATCAACCTCGCTGGCAATGATTGGCATCTTCTCTCTCTCTCTCTCTCTCTCTCTCTCTCTCTCCTCCTCTGTTCTTCTTGCAATCGACCTGCCACCGACACCCCAAGGAAAACAGAGGCTGGTGCGCATGAACCAACCTGCCTTGTTCTGTTCGCGGGGACGTTGTTGTTGTCGTTGGATCTCGGAATGTGGTCAGGTCAGTGGTCAACGCGGTGATCCTCAACCCTCCCCCATTACCGTCGTGCCGGATCGCGACCCGCCACCCTCGAAACGTCGGTACCTGAAACGAGCGCCAGCGACCGCGCCCCGCAACACCAACCGCAAGCCTCGCTGTAGATTTCTCGGCGCCTGTTCAGTTTCGAGTGCGTATTGCGAATGCAATTCGAACGTGTCTCGCTCGCAGATCTCAACCTCTGCGTTTGAGCCTGAGGAAGAACAGATGTGGCTAAATCCAGAGAGACCCCACGACAAGAACAACGACAGTTCTTTATACTGCAATACTCTGAATCTGGTTTCCACAGAGAGCGAGAGAGAGAAGCCAGCTTTGATTCATATAACACATTCTCAGTTTGGTCTCTAATTACAGGCCCAAAAGGGAAAAAAAAAGAAAAAGAAAAAAAAAAGAGCAATCTTGTTCATCAACATCACCAACATGAAGAGAGAGAGAGAGAGAAGAAATGAGAAAACAAGAAAAGAATAAACACATTAAACAATCACTGTAACGGCAAGAAAAAGAAGAAGCGGAAGAAAAAGTAAAGGAGGGAACTCGGTGCATTGGGGTCTGGATCTCGGGGTCTTTTATTCCATCGCTTCTGGATCTCTCCTCCTCGTTCTTCTTGTTCTCGTTCTTCTTCGATCTCCCTTACGAGCTCTCTCGGTGCGGCATTTCACCAACCGATCAATAAGCCTCGACGAACGACGACGATCTCCCGCCGTGATCGAAGTTCTGGGCATAGCTCACCGAATCGTACCGACATGTCTGGGGGAGGCCGACCTGGTTGTCCGACCCGACGAGCCGCCGGATCTCGGACCGGACCTTGTAGAACACGTGCCTCCAGCTCCCCCTGTTGTGGGACCCGAGGGCCTTGGTCTCCTCCTCGTTCATCTCCAGATCCAGCGCGAAGACGGGCTTGCGGGTCAGGATCCAGGACCAGCCCCAGTCCCACCACTTCCGGATGGTGGAGCCCCCCGCGGAGGCCCCGATGGAGGAGACGGACCTGGTCCGGCGGAGCAGGTCCCACGAGGAGGAGGTCGCCGGCTGGATCTTGAGGGAGAGGGAGGAGAGCCGCCGGCGGAGGCCCCGCTGGAGGGTGTCGAGGTTGCCGTCCTGGTGATGCTCTGTTCTCTGGGAGAGCGGGAGGGACGGGGCGGTGGACGCGAGGTTGGGGATGAAGCTCCGCTTCTGCATTGTGGGGGCTCGGCTATGGAGGTCGCCTGCGCACGTTACGCACACCAGAAGAAGAAGATGAATGGAAAGGAATGGCGATGGAGGAGGAACAGAGAGAGAGAGAAAGAGAGAGAGAGAGAGAGGTGATCACAGCTGCATCACAGGCTGGTTTTTATTCGCCTTTCTGTGGAAGGCAGGCAGGCACACGGTGGTGGTGGCCGTGGCGCGTGGGGCCCACCGCTCGCATGACGCGGAACAAAATGTTGGAGACGCCGTAATATACAAAACAGGGAAAATTTCAAATAAGGACGCGAAACGTGGCTATTTTCTCGAAAAAGGATTTAAAGTGGATATTATCTTAAGTGGGTGGCTAGAGGCATTCTAAGTCATTCTGTGAAGTTTTAAAATTTTTGATTTTTTTATGTTTTTATTTTTTTTCGGCACCTTAAAAAATTTAAATTTCACTCAAAGTGAATGGCCACAGATATTCTAAGTCATTATGTGAAGTTTTGAAATTTTTGATTTTTTGCTTTTTTTTTCACCTCAAAAAATTAAAATTTCACTCAAAGTAGGTGGCCACAGGTATTTTAAGCTATTATGTGAAGTTTTGAAACTTTTGAGTTTTTGAATTTTTTTAGGCACCTTAAAAAATTTAAATTTCACTCAAAGTGGGTGGCCACGTGTATTCTAAACTATTCTGTGAAGTTTTGAAACTTTTGATTTTTTGATTTTTTTTGGGCACCTAAAAAAATTTAAATTTCACTAAAAGTGGGTGGTCATAGGTATTTTAAGCCATTCTATGAAGTTTTGAAAAATTTTATTTTTTGATTTTTTTGAAAAAATTCAACAAATTTCCTATTTTCCCGAAATCTGAAATTTTTTATTTTTTGGAAATTGTGATGTATTTTTCTAGAATTTTTCAATTTTTTTTTGGATTTTTTGAATTTTTTTGAGATTTTTAGGAATTTTTTGGATTTTCTAATTATTTTTCTTCGCCCGACGCCGGCGAGGCCCCCCCTCGCCGGAAAGGAAAAAAAAAGAAAAAGCAAAAAAGACGAAAATGCCCATGGACTAAATACATTGGGGTAAATGTGTCACAAAAAGCAAAGTTCAGGATTTTTGGTGTCACAAAAAAAAGTTTGGGGTAAATGTGTCACAGATGGTAAAGTTTGGGGTTTTTGGTGGTTTTTTCCCAAAAGAAAGAAAGAAAGAAGAAAAATAAAGGAAAATAAAGAAAAAAAAATTTTTGACAAAAATGCCCCTGGCTGTGAATAAGATTGGAAGTTCGGGTCTTTATTTGAAACTAAGTTAGTCACTTCGGATCCTTATTTGAGATAATGTTTCACTTTGATCCTTATTTGAAATTTTCCCTATACAAAAATTTAGTCATGTGTAAAGGAAAGGCTTAACTCCAAAAAAAAAAAACATCGACTTTAATAATCCGACCTGAACTTTTTTTTTTGTCTCGTAAAAAGTCAATAATTTTCACTAAAATCTCAAATCTGACTCGAACAATTTGAAAATTTCACGTCAAGGGGGCCGGATTTGGGATTCGCGTAAAAATTAGTTCAGATCAGAATTGTGTCGCTCAAGGTAAAGTTAGTGTTTTTTTTAATTAACCCGAAAAGGAGAAAAAAAACGCTTGAACCCTTTTAACTTTGAAAAAAATCAAACCGAGCACTCGTTAATTAATGTCGGCGGAACTATTATTTTATAGTCCTTAATTTATGGGGATAGAAAAATCGAAATAAAAATTAGAGCGAATATCTTCACGTCTCCCGGAAATTACGAGATGGTGCATCGTGCATGGGTCATGGCACGACTCTTTGTCGACTGCCAAAAAAAAAAGAAAAAAAAATAGTAATAATAGGGCAAAAAGAGAAGGAAATGATGATCAAACGGTCTAATTGCCCTTTAATCACAGTTAGTTTTATTCTCGACCTTGATACGAGCGGAATTTACTTTTTGGCCCATAATTCCTGTGAAATTACTCTATAGAAAAGCATGATTACATTGAACATTTTCATATAATTTAAGAATTACATTGAATATGTATCAAAATGTTCAGGGACCACATTGAACAAATTAAAAGTTCAGAAATCACATTAAACATTAAGCTAAAGTTTATAAGCTATTTGGATCATTATTCCTAGAAAGAAAGCACATTATATTGTCTGTTTTGCCCCTTCGTTGGTCATCATTGTGTAGAGCAAAGTAGTTTGGGAACTGGAGTTCACTCGTTCGAATCCCATCAAATGTGCGCAAACCAGTCAGAGTCAAAACTACTTGCACGGGTTAAGGGTTTAATATTAATCAGTTCACAAGATTTGTAGGATGCTTCGTGGGTTTTCTTGATAGTTCGGTTTCCACACTCGTGTCCCTGGATTAGTAACCCGTGCGGTGCTAACCATTCTGGATCCGAATCACCTACACATGCCAGATGCCTGGATTTAATCGGTTCGTGGGACTCTAAGGATATGTCGTGGATTTTCAAGGTAATCGAGTCTTCACGCCCGTGTGCCTAATTTTTTTTTCTTCTTTTTCTTTAAAATAAAAGAAACACAACATGGTGAGCATCCAAAAGTGTCCATGACTACATGCCAAAAGCACATGGGGGTCTCGTGAAATTCATCTGTCGTCCGAACGTAGTCGCTGCGTGGATGAGGGGTAACTTCACAGTCATTAAGCATCACATGTGCTGATACTTATTTAGCAATCATAATTATAAACAATTAAAAGATGTTTAATATAGTTTTGTTTTTTTGGGGGTGTCCACCGTAGTTCTTTCTTTTGCCTTTTTTTGTTTATTTTGGGCATTTTCCATGACTTTTAGAATTTTAAATCGAACCTCCTATATAATGTTAAATACCGAATTATCCAAAGAAAAATGTTAAGTACCTCAAATTTTTAAAATACACGAATGTAGTGATTTTTAAGTCGCCCGGAAGATTTTCACGACTTCTTTCAAGCTAAAATTTTGTTTTTTTCTTTCTACGGGAAATTTTGCACGTAATTTATTGATTTGGCTTGGAGCAAAAACAAATAGCCTCTAATCTAGGGTGTTTTTCACAATAGCAAGCAAAATTATCAATGATTTTTTGAGCAACCAAAATGATTGATTTGTTTCTTTATCTCGCTTTTTTCTTAAATGGCATTAAAAAAAGCTTACTTGAAGTAGTTAAAATTGGTTTGACCATAAAAAAAAAAGAGTAGTTAAATTTTCAATTCGCTAAATATTTTGCTAACCTCATTTGTTTGGTCGGACCACAAGCCAAAGTCCGAGCGGATATCTTAAATATCGAGTTGCGTTGCGCTTAGCGGTGTTGAATGTTGGACTCGTGACATGCTCATAGTTCACACACATGGATCCGTTTCGATATGATTGAAGCAATCGCACGAATATCTTCCACTCGATTCATACAATTCAAGTTTCGAATGTCACTTTTACACATACAACTCAGTTGCATATCTATTAATGTCTGCATTTAGATAGTATGAAGTTTCAGAAGTTTAAAATTAAAAAAAGAAAATCAAGGCCCACGGTCCAAGAGATTTGAAACAAAAAATTCGAAGAAAATATAACTCCAAAAAAAGATGTATTTATATTTATTTATACTTAAAAGGGGGAAAAATAGAAGAAGAGAAGAAATAGAATAGGTGATTAGGGTGCGTTGCCACGGCCACTAGCAAGGGAATTGGGTGGAGTGGGGACATTTAGTTCAAGCATGAAGTTAGACTCTCACGTATTGTAAAGAGACAGAGTAAAAATCTGAGAGAAATACTAGAGTTAGAGTAGGACAGACAAAGAAACTAGGATGCATTTGGTTCGACTTTTAGGAAAAGTGTTTAGAAAAATACGATTGGCCTATAGGTTAAAGGGGTTTTTCGAAATGCAAGTAGTGTCTGATAAATTGTAAATTAAAAGTGCACTGGGAACAACTTTGATTTAAATGTGTTTGGAAAAATTACATTTTGTGAAGCACTTTCATTTTTTTTATTAAAAAAAAAACTCAAAACCGGCGAAAGACAAAAGCGAGGCCAAAACTGGCTGCCGGCAGCCTCGCCTAAGGTCGCCCGACCTCTGATGCCGGCAGCTAAATTTGACCTCGCCGGCGGCCTGAATCCGTGCCGCTGACCTCGAGTGAGGTACGGATATTTCCGGAATCATGGATATATAGCGAGGGCAAAGCTGAAAGAAGAAAAAAATGTATTTGCATTTCGGAAATGCTCAAAACTTAAAGCACTTCATACCTGTATCGAGCTGAAGGTCTTTGGAAATGCAACGGCATCTTCTCGAAAAGCTGTCCAAAAAACTTGCCAAATGAGATTGGCATTTGCCCACGAAACTTTGGAGGCCCAAAAAGCAGTTCCCTCAGCTACAAGCCCAGCCCATATGCATTTGCAGGATGATCATCATCATCATCATCTTCGTCCTCTTCGGTCCGTCTCCACTCCGCTGATCAGTGAAGCGTGCGAACGCTGCTGGAAACGAAGCCTGATTCGCACCGCTCCACAAGCTCGAGATCTCAGAGGTAACCGCCGCCGATTCGGCATCGACAATGGAGTATCGGAAGCTCAAAGATCAGGTCCGTTGTTCCGAGCCTTCAGGCATCTCCTCGTCCAGCATTAGTGCGACGTTTGTTGTTGTTGTTGTTGTTGTGTTGTTGCGGACGGATGTGCGGGATTCATCGTAGCGCGAGTGCAGTCATCGCGTCCCTTTTCCTTTTTCTTGTCTTTTCAAGTCGAGCGAGCTATATTTCGTTGCTGTAGAACTAGATCGTGATTGCTTCGAGTTTCGCTTCCTCCGCTCCTTTTGCAAAATTTGTTTGTTCTCCGCGCGCTTTGTTTGTACTGATTGCGGCATTGATCCTAGATTAGCTGGAACGCGTCCCTTTTCGAGTCTTCTTCGGAGCTCTCCCGCGACCGGGTCGTCTATTTGTCGAATTTGCTCGGTTTTCGGGTTCCGCGGAGCTTGAGTTCTTCTCAATTCCTGTGTGCGTCTGGCCAATTCTGCAGCCATTGTCCATGAATTTTAGCTAAAATGGTGTGAATTGGTGGGATTTTTAGGATAAAGATGGGGACACAAATGACGAAGACGTAGAAAGCCTGCGAGGAAAAGCTATTTCAGGCGGTATGTTTCTGTTAAAGCACACCCTAGAACTTGATGCAGCTTTTAATGGGTAATCTATCTAATATTTTCGGGTAATCTGCGTTCTGCAAATCTAATTTTGGCGAGACCTTATGATATTTTCTACTGATCATGCAGTTTCACTGAAACCCTTGGCTACCTTGGGAGTCGGCTCGAGCGATCGGTCCAAGTGGAAGCGCAAGTGCGAACACTTGGTTTTTTCTGTCATGCTATTGTGGATCACCTCTTTTCTGGGTTTTGGCAAGAAATTACTGATGGCAAGTCTTTTTTTCTTTGGAGTTAGGTCGATCGTCACGCTTGCATTGACAATTCTCACTAGTTCGCAAGCGATCCTCATCGTTTGGTCCAAGAGAGCTGGGAAGTACGAGTATAGTGTTACCACTGCAAATTTCATGGTGAGATTACATCAGTACCTTCTGATGTCATGAGGAGAACGATCGTTCAGAAATCTAACGAAACCTTGTGATGAAATGTCCAACATAAATAAGTGGAGTGGGTATATGTATGAGTATACTTTAACCTCTTTACTGTTTGTTGGAGTCAGGTGGAGACTCTAAAATGCGCCTTGTCACTTGCTGCCTTGGCAAGAATATGGAGAACAGAAGGGGTTACTGAAGATAACAGGTTACTTTGCCACTCATTCTCTAGAAGTTAATTAATAGTAGCTCGTCTGAGAAGAAAAAGATATTTAGCATGGTTATCGTGTTGTTGATTTTTCTGTTTTTTGTATGTGTTTTTTTAGCATCCCATTAGTATCTCTTTAAGATGACTTCACAATATATTTCGCTTGAATAGTGCGATATTGGTGTTGCTTAATGGTCTTCAGGAAGATCTCGTGAGAAGTTTTTTGCCATGTTTATGATTCTAATCACTTATATCAATTAACATTTTTCATTGCTATAAAGAACATTGGGTGAAGTCCTTCTCTTCTTCTTTCTAATCTTGGTGTAGGTTGAGTACAACATTGAACGAAGTCATAGTCTACCCTATTCCTGCATTTCTTTATCTTATCAAGAATTTGCTTCAGGTCAGTTGTTGTGCTCTGTTCATTTTCTATTGGTGGTGAGATTGATTTAATCTTTCTTCCCTACTTAATTATATGCAATTACAATTTCAATTTCTCCGGCAGTATTATATCTTTGCATACGTGAATGCTCCTGGATATCAGATACTGAAGAACCTGAATATTATAAGCACTGGTGTTTTATACAGGATCATACTTAAGAGAGAGTAAGTCCATCTTTACACACTTGCATGGTTGTTCTTTTTTATGAGAAGTGTGTTTATGTCAATCGGGTAAAGGCAATATGGGACGGCACGTATGATAATAGGTTCCAAATAGAAGCTTATTTGTCTTTTTGGAGGGAAGTATGTTGGTTTGCCAGAACCATTGTGAGTGAATGACACAAGCAAATAGTAGAGCACGAAAACTTTCTTTTTAAAATGAAGTAGACCATAAAAAAGTGCAAAAAGAACTCAAGTCAGTTTTCACAATTTTGGTTTTTCAATGAAGAATTGTAATCTAACGGCTCTGGCATCTCAGATTGAGCGAGATTCAGTGGGCAGCCTTTGTTCTCCTTTGTGCAGGCTGCACTACAGCCCAATTAAACTCAAAGTGAGTTTGTCCTTCCTCCCAATTCTTTTTCTTGCTGTAGTTTGCTAGACCACCATGTGTTATGTCTAAATTCTTCCTAGACCTGGTCATGTAATCTTTTTTTATTAACCATCTGTGCTGGTAAAATGGCTACGAAGTGGATTATGATCTGCAAATGCTTTTTATTCACTAGCAGTAGTTTCCAATATAGTCGCCTCTGTTCATTTTATAGTATATGCTTTTATTAGAGAACTCTAAAATACTGCCGAATTGATTCTTCATGATGTCTCTGGTAATCAAAACCCTGTGCAGCTCAGATCGCGTTCTTGAAACTCCAGTTCAAGGTTGGATAATGGCAATTGTAAGTTGCTGGCTTCTTCTTCTTCTTCTTCTTCTTTTTTTAATCTTTTTGACATTTAGTGGGGATAGAGCAAAATAAGGAATTTAGGGTAGAAAAGCATTGCTTATTTTAGTAAGTTTAGCCTTCAATTTTCTCAATTTATTCTCAGGTAATGGCACTTCTAAGTGGGTTTGCTGGAGTCTACACTGAGGTATGTTGCGTATGATCTTAAAGTTTCTGAACCGCTTCATCGAAGCATTTCTGTTGGTTCTGTACAATGCGACCAGTATGTCATGTAAATACATTCGATTATGTTTGCCTGAAATGCATAGTGTTTCCATTCAGGATTTGTTGGAACAAAAGGAAGTAATATGCTGCATATGTTTTGATGCTGATCAAGAGGTTCCCCTTTTGCAGGCTATAATGAAAAAGCGGCCTTCTAGAAACATAAACGTGCAGAATTTCTGGCTATATATATTTGGGATGATCTTCAATGCTATCGCGATAGTCATCCAAGATTTTGATGCAGTTGCAAACAAGTAATCTAACCTTCCTTTATGCATCTATATCTAAGATTGCACCTTTGAATGAGACCTCGACATAGTTGAAGAATAGTTTTCTGGTGCGCTCTAGCGTTGAAGTGCTGCATTACTGATGCTTCATTGAAAGTAGTTGCTTTCCTCTTTGACCTTCCAGGGGCTTTTTCCATGGATACTCTTTGATCACAACTCTCATGATTCTCAACCATGCACTGAGGTGTGTATTTTTTCGGAATTAAAGTTTTGCTGCTCATAGCAGACTATTAGCTGTTAATTGACCAAACAAAATTTTAAGCTCACTCTGCCATTTTTGCGGAGTGTCAGTTGCTCATATGTTGTTGCTATTGTTGTGTCAACCTTTTCTATTATGTCTTAGCAATTTTAGTATACAATTTCTTTCTTCTGATTGTTTTCTGAAATCACAGACCAAAATAGGAAAATTTGTTTTTGTTTTTGTTTTTCTATTTTTCGCATGGATGCACAGGTGACTCAATATTATTGAAGCCAGATATGGTTAAACCTTGTTCTTCTTTGAGTAATTGATCTACAATTCTTATTCTTGCTGTGCGTAAACAGTGGCATCGCTGTGTCTATGGTGATGAAGTATGCAGACAATATTGTGAAGGTCAGACATCTTTTGCATATGGCATCAAAGAATGAAACTTTATAACAAATTAGGATCCAGTGTGGTATATTATTTTTCTTCTTTGCCAACATTTTGTCCATTTCATATTTCACTTTGAGGCTAGGTTTTAAGTACCTAATATGCATGTAATATTTGCCATGAAAAGGTTAATTGGCTTGTAACTTGAGCAAACTCTTTAAAAGTCTCCCGCATCAGTAAAAGTATTTAAACCACAAAGGTTTCTCTTGCCAATAATCTGGCGTTTTTCATCTGAAGAAAATCAAGCAATGCTACTTTGTCACCAGATTCTTTAGACACATCACCTTGAATTTATGTCCCAATAAGCTAGAATTGAGGTTGTTCACTATGTATATGCCTTTTATATGACACGATCGCTAAATGATTAGGATGATGGTCTTCAGTTTCCATAGATCATAATAAGTGTACTGGAAACGACTGACTCATCTGTGCTTGTTTCGGAGAGTTTCAACTAATTTTTATAAATTTGAAATGAGCAGGTATATTCAACTTCAGTGGCAATGCTTCTGACAGCCGTTGTTTCTGTGTTTCTCTTTGGCTTTCATCTGTCCCTTGCCTTCTTCCTTGGTTCAACGTAAGATTCTCTTATTCATCTCTATTATCTCGTTTCTTGTTCATCTCATTTTGAACTGTACTTTTCACCATTCTTCAATCGCCAAACATTAAGATTCTGTAGGCTTTGTTAGCAGAGTCGGTGGTTGAGAAGGATCATATAGTGAACTAAACTCTCGACAATGCATTTTCTGCTACTGTTTGCACCAGCATATGTCAGAACAGTTTCGTCAGTACAGTAGTAATTTTTCCTGTATGGGGTAGTAATTTAGTGCTAGTAACCTTCATTTTCGAGGAGGTAACAATGACACAAGACCGAGGAATTCCCCATCTTATAGAATGAACCTGGGTGCTTCTTCAGTTAATGTCCTAATTCTTCTCTGTATATTTGCAGCGTTGTCTCTGTCTCAGTGTACTTACACTCCATTGGGAAGCTGCGAAGATAGTAATGTCTTCTCTGTCCACCGAACAACATCGTGCTCCACAGCTTCTCCTGCAGTTCTTCCTTTTAATCATTATTTTTATTCGTTGATTACTATCGAATCATACGGTCAAAGAATCAGATTAACCACAGCAAAGATCACCTCCTGTAACTCTCATATGTGTGTAGAGGAGTAGAAGGGTAGAAGAACAGTTATTTTTCGAGTGTTGCTTCTTGGGCAAGTAAAATATAAGTCAGCTTTGCAATTTGTTCGGTTATTAAAGCTTTACCTATAAGGCCTTGATCTATTGTCATTGATTTTTTTGCTGCCGTGCGACATATACAGTATAATCGGTGATGCCGGCCACCCGGTACTGCGGTGTTAATCTTCGATTGAGCAAATGTTAGGCAATCCGAGCCTTAAGAGAAGTTCAAAAGCAGGAACATCTCTTGATAAAGCGCTTCTTTTCTGCTCTGGTTTCTCACACCAGCGTTGTAAAGAGCAGTTGCTCGCTCTGTGTCTGTGCCTCTTTGCTTTTTCATTTTAAATTGAAAAATTTTAACTAAGCTTTTATCGTATTATGTCGATCGTAGTTTTAGGCTACGTCTTGAGTTAACAACATCCATCATTTTCAAGGTTTGCAATGTTTGACTTCTAGTTGTAGGTTGTTTTGTTTTATTTTATTGCTCCAGTATACTATATAATCATAAACTACATAGTCAAAATAAATATCAACTGTCTAAAATATTCAAATTTAACAATGCAATAAAAATTTAAAATACCTGTGAATTTTAGAGCGATTCATATCAAAATCTAAATGAATGCATGTACTTTAGTAATTGCATTATCTTGTCGCTTACACTATGAGCTTTAAATAAAAAGCAAAATGCAACTTCATGACTTCTTTTTCTTTTGGGTGATCTTGAAGATAGCTTTTCGAAATCTCAAAGAACAAGAAAATGCAAGAAGAGATTTGAGGTCTTTTGATGCCAAAATTTACTTGGGTCTCGTGGCTTTCCAAATAATATTCTCATATGAAAAGTTATTTTTGCATTCTATTTATATAAATGTAGTCGAGGTGTATCAATAAGCATAGCATTTTTGACCAAACTGAAAATATTGGAAGACTGTCGCCTTCGCCTCCTTGTGAAGTCAGAATATATGCAAGTTACTAAAAGCTGCATACTTCTTTTCTCCCAAGAACATGACCGGAATGGCGCATTGCATTGTGCAAGCCTTTGTGCTACCTTCCCTTAACTTCTCCCGAGAGAAATAACATTTAGCAACCATGCTTCGAGAAACCGCTTCATACGACTACGAAAATTACCAATTCTGTGGATGTGAAACCACTGTACATGAACAATGCCAATCTAGAGACAAGTCCTAAATGAGCAATTCAACGCTATGGCTCCAAATGGCAGAACATCTCTGTTCCCGCTGCGCAGGGGATTTTCATTTTGAATGCCTCATTTCTTCGCCTTTGCAAACCTGAGGCATCTGTATTTCTCGCCACTCACGGTGATTTCAAGAGCTCCATCTTGATTATCTTGAGATGCAGTGCCCATCAGAACGCTCTTCTCTTTCTCGAGGTTTTCTTTCTCCATCTTCAGTCTTGCTTCTTGTCGGGCAATTTCTGCCTGGAATAGATAAGGCATTAACGCCCAAAAATATTGTTCCTCTCCTCACACAAGGTAGAAAAAACAGATCAAGCACACCATTATTATGCAACCTAACCTAAACAGAAAGTGACAGGCAACTTATCAGACAAACTCAAAGACCCTTCTTTTGGTGCTAAAAAAGAAAAACTGAAATGACCATCAGGTCAAAAGTTTGTATATTGCCAGCAAGAATCGACATATAGCTTCATGCAGGATGATGAGAAGCGGAGCTGACTGACTCGAGCCTAATAGGAGAATAATCCAGAAGCCAATTTCTTGGAGGAATCAATATGAGATCAACGAACCAAACGACTTGTTAGCAAACATTAGAAAACTTGAGCAAACAATATACGACTTGATGGTTGAGCAACTTGCACAGACATTAATTTCATGAAGCAGTCTGTATCAAGATATTGCATTAATTACCAAAGAAAACACACACAAAGCTGCTGCTAGCAGATTTGGCATTTCCAAAAATGAAGACTTCAAATATTGACAGTGTCTCTATTCTCTGACTTGAACAACTCTGAATGTGGAATGATGTGTCAGTGTTTGAACTCGAACAATCCTACTCACAAGACACCATTTGCCTTGGAGACGTGGTAGATGACACTCTTTTGTTCAGAAATGAAATGAGGTTTGTGATATGACTACATGGGATACCGGGACTTACTTCTATACCAATCATACTTATAGTTTTTGAGGCATCTTAAGGTTATAGCTTTGATAAGGCACAGGTAAGTTTGTAGGAAGCACCGCAGCCAAGCACAGACAACATAGAGATAACATGGTGGAGTTGATAGACAATTCATAATCAAACTAATCACCCCATTAATCGATAGGAGCAAGAAGTAGGCATGGACCCCTTAAACAGCAGCTGAGTACAATAAAGGCTGTGATGACACCATCTATCAATATTCACTTGTTCAGACTGTGGTACAACTTCCCAATAATTCGTTGGGAACTCATGATGCGAAACAAGTATAAATCTCACCCAGTTCATGGTAAACAGTCATGTAAACTATAGTACTACTAGGATCACAGATGAACCACTATCTAAATCCCACTATCTTTTTCCGAGGAATAATGCAAATGGGCAATCCTATTATAGCATCATCACAATGTAATAATACCGACCACAAAATTCTCCGAATCACCGGTTTACCTAACACAGAACATTCAAACCGTCTCGCTAACTATGCTAGCAAAAGGCTGCTTGCAATCACAGACTACCAAATGACAAGCAACAGAGGGTCATGCTATGGGCTTACCTCGCGACGAGAAAGCTCGGCCTTCCAAGCGGCCTCACGCTCGGCAACCTCGCGCTCGCGCTCCTCGATGTAACTCTGCATCTCCCTCTCCTTCATGATGCGGTCTTGAATGTCCGCATCCAGGGCTTCCTTCAGCTCCTGCACAAACTTGTCCACCACCGCCTTTATTCTCAGAGACATGTCTCTCTCCTAAGCCACACCGAAATCGCAAAACCCAACCGAATCGCTCCGTCGAATATCAGCGGCGGGGTCGCTCCGATTCTCAGACGCTGCAAAGACAGAAACCAACGGACAAAGATAAGGAATTGGGAAGACCAAAAAAAGAAAGAAAAAAAGAAAAAATTCAATCTTTTCCGCCGAAGGAAGCCAAAAACCGATGCGCCCGAAGCCTCAACCCATCAACAGCGACGGCGAACGTGTACGGTCGGCGGCATAATCATCATCGATCGCGGAAAATGCGGAGAGATGGGAAAGCAGGGAGACGTACCGGTCAGTTCGCCGAACGAGGGAGAGACGGGATGGTCGGGACGAGATGGCGGAGTCCATGACGGACGGACGGACGGACGGACGGAAATGGGGGCAAGAACCGATGGGATGAGGAAACAGCAGGTATCGACGAAGAAGAAGAAGAAGAAGAGGCGGCGGCGGCGGCGGCGGCGGCAGTGGAGATTCTTTACTGGAATGGAAGTGGCTGCACCTCCACTTCGGCCATATCGAAAGCCAGAGGAACTCGCGGTTTAGAAAGAGAGAGAGAGAATCGCGTGAACAAAGGAGAAACGAATTTGCAATGCCTTCTTCCGTTTTTGGCCCATGATTTTCTTTTCTTTCCTTAATAAAAGTTGGGAAAAATTGTTCGAGTGTGCGGCTTTGGTTGGCTTCTCCTCTCGAAGCCCCCTCCCTCTCAATTTGGTTCGTTCTTGTTTTTTCTTTTCTTTCTTTTTGGCTAACGAATGCGCCCTCCCATACGTAAAACCTCAAAATAAATATATAAATATATATATTTTTCAAGAATTATGGAAGATTATTTGTGTATTTTCCAGCCATTTTAAATGCCTTGCGGCTAAAATTTGTAGACGCCTTCAAATTTGCAAAAGAAATAAAATTAAAGAATAAAATTAAAGCATAGGTAGTGGGACGAAGGGTGGGTCCGTGTTGTGTCTCTGACTAATGAACCGTTCTCGTTTCGTGAGTACTGAGAAGCGATTCGAGCGAGGATATATATAACCAGAGATATATCACAAGCTACTCATAGGAAAGCACTGCCACAAGGGGGTCCGTTGGAAGTTTATTCTACAACATGTGCTCGGCGCGAGGCGGAGGTCCGGCCCTATGTTCCCAGTCAACTGATGGGGACGGTTGTCGACATATTCTCTCTCGATTTTATTCGGCTATTACATTACAAGCACGAGAGAGAGAGAGAGAGAGAGAGAGAGAGAGAGAGAGAGAGAGAGATGGAGATCAGGGCCCCGGCAATTCATCCGACTGTCAAAGGTTCGCAGCTGGGTCGTCATAACTCGTCTTTGGAGCCTCCATCTCCCGGTGGTTCAGCATATGATGCGTAGGCCTTGATTATGGACTCGTAGATTTCAATTCCTTTCAGATACTCGGTTTTGCTGAGGAACTGGAAACGGAAGGGAAATCGATAAGCATTGTAAAGGTAACCATGAGCAAGGTAAAAAGACAAGGGACTTGAGAATAAGCTCGATCCTGCACTTCACCTCATTATGGTCGTGAAGCAGGACAGGAGTATTAGCCATAGGCGAGAAGCCAATTGCTGGCAAACCCAGTTCCCGGAAGTAGCGAGCATCCGTTGAAGCGGGAAATATCTCGGGATTCCCGAGCTTTCCATTAGCCTTTTTGACAGCCTCTTCCAGCAATGCCCACCAGGGATTAGAGCTGTCTGTGGCGGTGAGGGTTGGATTTCCAAATTTGTCGTGCGGAGAAACCTTATGCTTGAACTGCCCAAAACTCAGAAATTGGTCAGACTCTACACTTGCAATATTCAGTCCCATCAAGCCACTGTGCATAAGTAGATCGACTACAGATTAACGCATCAGTAAATCCAAGATAAAGAGTGCTTCAAAGCAGGACCACGCTGTTGTTCTACAGCTCTACCACCAACACATCGGTTTTTTTTTTTTTTGGTAGTGACCAACACAACGGTTGAGCAGGCCTCATTTGTATCTTACCTCTCAGGAGCTCGTGACCGACAAAATAAAAGAGCAGTGACTGGCCAAAATTAAACGACTTTATGCAGAAATCTCCATTTAGGGCCGCAGCAATCCTCATATCCAGACATGAAACCGTCCTCCCAGTGCGGAATTATTGTATGGTAACACCAAAATTAAAAGTCATAGCTTGCAAAGAGGTTTGCATGTACTTCACGAGATATCTAGATCTTTGTGCAGTAAAATAAAGGACATTAACGTTTCAAGCGATTCTAGGACCCAATAACTGTTCCTCTCGTTATCTAAGCCACAAGATATGCACAGTAATAGCATGCGCTCTTTCCATCCTTAACATCGTAAACTATTTGCAACCATATTTTCATTCGCGCACGCTGATCAACGTCACTACGAGGAAAAAAGGACCAATTTCTTCCTTTAGAAGTCATAAAATGAGTTTTATTTTTTTTCATGTCATATCAATTTTGTAATTGGGAAAAAGCAAAATCTGTAAAGCTTGCTGCACACATAAAATCCAATCAGAAAGTTATTACAGTAGATACAATACTGACAAACAAGGATTTTTGAGCTTCCTTGAGCACAGAGATGTTATTAAGAGAAAAACTGTTAAGCGACCCCTACCTCAAATGTCATATTGCGTGTGATAGGTGCCCATTCTTCTGCTATCCTTTTCATTAAAGCTTTAGGATCAGCAGTTGGTGGGACCCTGACATCAAAACCCGCTTCAGCTTCCGATGGCTGTAAGTTCATGACAAAACCCTGGCAGGGGAGAAAACAGAAATCAAACAAAAGGATGCATCAGCTTGTCTTCAAGCAAAACCCTCAAGTGGAGGATATGTCCAACCAAGCAACACCTTCTATAAAAAGTACACATAACGCATATTGTTGAATGTCCAATTGTTACCAAAGTTGCTAGCGAGAATGTCACTCAGACAACTTACTGTCCTACCGGACATTAATCTTTTCTCTGTGATCCTATCTATGGGCAATAGCAGCGAGCCAACAAGTACAATCAAACACGGTCATGGAAAAAGTTTTGCAGGATCTTAGATGACACCATAGAAGAACAAACAGCAGCACACAGACAAAGAGATGTCCACGCACTTTCTATGGGACCAGGAGTAATTTTCATGGTCTTTTCCATAAAAATGAAGGGACGGGACATGGGAATATTTTAATAATAAAGAAACTAAAGGTAATATACACAGCCAAAGAATGTGAAGCTTATACACTATTATCAGACATTGGACTTAAACTTGCATTTGCGAGTGTAAATGCAGCATCAAGTGATCTCTCCAAATTCATTTGAGAGCCAAACTGACTAGTGACACCGATACATCGAAGCATAAGCTCTGCTGCTCATGATAGAGAAAGGAACTTACAGTGGGAGAAGGAGTGCCAGCCTTGAGGAACACCATATTAACTGAAATAACCTCTCCTTCAGCCTTCAAGCCTGCTTTCACCATATCGAACTGTGAAGCCCTGAACCTCCTCACACTCTCGATGCTTTTCAGCAAGTTCTCCATTGCGGTATTATCGTACAACTTTGCACCATGTCCAGGTGCTCCAGTTGCCTTGATCACCAGCCACCACGGGCATCTCTCTCCATAAAATGCCCGATAATATTCCGTTGGTGACGCCAACCCTACATTCCAAAATTCGACAACCGCTTCTCATTTTAGCACCCCAGTGTAGGCAAGAACTCGATATGCACTAAAGTTTACACTATTTTTCCATCTACTCCATGTATGCACCGAGTAATAAGTTTTCTTTCACAGATGTCCTAAATAGCACTTGCTATGTCTAAGCCAACATAGTAACCGATGCTTTCCGAGGTACTACGCTGGTTAAAGTATGAGGATTCCATCGGATTAAATAATTCGACAGTCAAACATTAATCACCTTTACTCGGCCTGAAATAAAAAAAAACCTACCTTTACAAGTTGCAGATAGCTCAACCGGTGTCCTGAAGTCAACGGTTTAGACTTTCCTATTTACAATTCCCCTATTGATTTCAAATGACACGACTTTCGCCCACGAAAAAATCATAACCTGATAAGCTCGAACCCAGAAAATCAATCTACCTTCGTCGAGAACAATGCCAACGTTCATGTCCCTGAACTCATCGGACTCCGCGAGCTTGGCGGCGCCGTCGTGCCCGCCGATCTCCTCGTCGGGCACGAACGAGAGATAGACGTCGCGGACGGGCGCGAACCCCGAGCGCTTGAGCCTCCGGATCGCCTCCAGGTACTGCATCCCCACGCACTTCATGTCCTGCGAGCCGCGGGCGTAAATCCGGCCCTCGGCATCGGCGCGGGCGGCGAACGGGGGGTGGGACCACTTGTCGTCCTCGGCCGGCTGGACGTCGGTGTGCGAGTTGAGCAGCACGGAGGGGAGGGAGGGGTCGGAGCCGCGCCACCTGAGGAGGACCACGGGCTTGCCCGGGACGAACTCGATGGCCCGGCCCTCGAGCGAAAGGGACTCGGCCTCGGAGAGGAGGAAATCGGTGGATTCGGGGTAGTCGGGGTTCGGCTGGGCGGTGTTGATTCGGAGGTAGCGTTGGAATCTCGCGACGATCGAGTCGTCGCCGTCGCCGCCGCCGCCGCCGCCGCCGGAGCTAGAGGGCGAGGCGAGCACTATGAGCGCGAGGAGAGGGAGGACGCGGAGGATTCTGCGATCGAGCTCCATGGCCGACGACGGGAAGAGGCGGCGGCGTCGAAGGTCAAGAGTGTGCGAGCGCACTGGCTTCTGGTGGTAAGCTGCAGGTCCTTTGATTCCGATGCGCGAGAGAGAGAGAGAGAGTGGGAGAGGTGCGATCCGCTGCAGCGAGGGTGCACCGTAGGTTATCTTGCGAGCGAGACGAGGAGCTTACCTCGGCCTCCGATGCTTCCGCGATTAGAAAGTCTTTCACGCCGCGGATCTACCACGCATGATCGGAAGGAAAAATTTTAAATAAAGATGCGTAATGCCTCCATTTTTTTTCAAATAAAGGCTCGAAATGAAATTTTATGTAAAATAAAGACCTAAAATGACCATCGTTTGTGGCTTTCGTGGGCGGCCTAGCTCAACCCTCCCCCTAGGGGAGGCTTTCGTCGCCTCGCGGACAAGGCATCCTCCTTTTTATCGACTTTTGCCTGCTCCTTTTTGTTGGGCGACCATTGTTTTCGGCCATCGCGAGAAGAAAAAAAAACCATAAAAAAAAAAGAATAAAAAAAGGGAAAAGGTAACAAGGGGAATTTTTTATTAAAAAAAAAATAAAATCCACCAAAACCCCAAATTACGCCACTTGTGATAAATTTACCCTAAACTTTTTTTTTGACATTAAAAATCTCAAACTATGACACATATGACATATTTATCCCCACAATACTTTTGCTCAAGGGCATTTGATTGGCAGAGGGAAAAGAGAAAAAGAAAAAAAATAGAAAAAGGAAAAAGACGAAAATGCCCTTAGGCAAAAGTATTGTGGGGTAAATGTGCCATAAGTAGTATAGTTTGAGATTTTTCGTGTCACAAAAAAAAGTTCAAGATAAATTTATCACAAGCGGCATAGTTTTTTGTTTTTTGTAGTGTTTTCCCTAAAAAAATGTAAATGATGAAAATGCCTTTAACCAGCCAGAAAGTCTGGTCCTTATTTAAAACTAACATAGCCACTTCAGATCTTTATTTGAGAAAATGTAAATATTTTAAGCTCTTATTTGAAATAAAGTTTATTTTATGCCCTTATTTAGAAATTTTTCTAATTGTAACGATGATGCAATGTAATCGATCGATCACGATTGAGATTTTATCATTATGGGGATCGTACACGTACGTATTTCCTTTTCAATTGATCTATCACGCCATAGGTCGCTATAGTGTTGTGTATCCGTTGTACAAAACAGGTCCTTCCATTCCAATAATCATTTGACAAAAAGATTCTAATCTTTTCGAACAATATCGTGCGCTAGGCAAAAATAATCATGCTTATCACAAGAAAAAGGGAAATTAGGGCTTGTCTGTTGTCGTCCCCTCGCCGTCTTCCATGCTCGATCTCGTTGCCACCTGTTCGGCTATTCCCAACCCCTCTGTGCTCATCTCTTTTCGTGCACTTTTATTTGGCGACCCCGAATCAACCTTGATACGAGGTCGCTACGGACATCATTAGTAAGGGATGTAGGAAAATACGATCCTCTTTCGAAATTATGGTTTATTACGGTAACTGCCTACGCTAGAACATGACCCCATGTGGCGTGGGCATGTAGGAATTACGCAACAAATCTACTTTCAAAGTTTTCTTCTAATAAAGTGGACTTTTCATTTATCCATATACATCATATCCTTGCCATAAGTTCAATATTTACGGCATTCACATCATCTCATGCATCGATCCCAATATCAAGTTAAGGCCTCGAACGAAGCCGCCAATGCAACTTGTGATGAAAGTGACAATCGTGTGATGAGTGTATAAGCGACGCCCATTTTATTTTATGTAATGATATTCGTGTGTATGCACTCGTCTCATTAATCCATCTGACCGTCGCGCACACCGAAGATTTCGAATGATGCCAACAATCGTCCCACGGACAGATTACGGGCTCTCTATAGACCATATCAATCTCGTACAGAGGGACATAGATTTCAAACGATTTTCATAGAACAAGATCCCACCATACGTGGCGTCTTGGACCGTTTTATACACTAAAAATTTCTCTTGCCCCGTCGTGCCCATTTTGCCCCTCGCTGCCGCAGCCTTGACTGTCACGTCGACCGCGCACCTTTCGGCCTTCCATATTTAAAAAAAAATAAAATATTTCATGGATTCTCGCATATCTCTCTCTCTCTCTCTCGAGAATCTCTCACGAAATAAACAATAAAAGAAAAAGAAAAAAGGGGAAAAAAGAAAAATTTACAAATCCCCACACACCCACGCTAAAACCCACAAGCACCACCTCCCAGGCCCCCCCTTAAACCCATCTCTTCAACACACAGAAGAGAGAGAAAGGAAGAAGAGAGAGAGAGAAAGGAAGAAGAGAGAGAGTTTGAACAGCGAGTCAAACGCCACCGCCGAGAGAGGAAGCGGGCGTGGGGGAAGAAGAAGAAGAAGAAGAAGAGGAAGGAGATGGAGGAATCGATGAGAGAGTGCATGAGGAAGCTCGCCCTCTGGCACACCCGCACCTTCAAGCCCATCATGACCCACGACGAGCTCGAGCCCATCATGGCCACCCTCGGCTTCCTCGGCCTGCCCCCCTCCGCCTCCCCCGGCGGCTCCCTCGCCTGGAAGGAGTACGCCCACTCCTCCTCCTCCTCCTCCGCCTCCTCCGGCGGCGGCGGCAGGGCGAGGCCGCGGCTGCCCTACCCGAGGATCGACGGCCTGCACAGCTACACGTACCAGGCCTTCGTCGATGGCGTCAGCTCCTACCTCGAGATGTGCGACATCTCCGTGCTCTTCCACATCCGGTGAGATTCCCTCCCGTCTTTTGCTCTCTCCCTTTTTTTTCCCCCCCTATTTTCGTTGCGCCTTTTTTGTTCGTTTTCTTTTCTTCTTTTTTTTTTGGCCTTTCTGACGTGGCTTTTCGCGAAAGGATATAATTATTTTTTTTTTAAATCCATTTTCTTTTCCTGCTTTTTATCAGTTTTCACGAGGTTTGATAGTTTTGTTGGGAAATTATTTGTGCTCAGAATAGTGGATTGGTTGATGCGAGAAAAGAATTAGACTTTCCAGCTAATCTTTCCGACGATTAAGAAAAGAATTGATATTATATTGTTAAGTTTTTGTTTTTTTTTTCCGCTTCTAGAAAGTCAAATGCAACTTTTCTTTTTATTTTCCATTCGAATTTAAAATTTTCATCCAAATTTCAATAATAATGAAGGAATTATATGTGGAAAACCGGCATTTCGAGCACGAGATTATTTTCGGAAATTTCAACTATTTTATATCGAAAAAAGGTTTGGTAATATTTTAAATTAACATGAAAAATAATAAAATGACACTAAATTATAGATTTTGTATAACCCTTTGAAAATAATAAAATAGCAATTAAAATAATTTCCTGCTAAATGCCCTTTTTCTAAGCTAGCCTTTTAGGGAGCAGCAGACGCTACGCCTCTGCCGACAGACAATAAATGATATCTCATGATCTCGATCCGCGATAAAGCATCTTCCGATATCTATGTAAAAAATGGCGGAAATAATTTAATTTGATTTAATTTAATATAATTTAATATAATCGGATATTGGGCAGGGGCATGCCGCTGCACAGGCTTGATCTGTACAAGAAATGGCGACGCATGCAGGAGGACGAGAGCGTCTTCGTCTACAGAGAAGGGACTCTGGATCAGGCCACTTACAATCTCTACCATCTCCACCGTCGCGGCGGCGGCGGCAGCAACAGCGGCGACGGCGACTACATCAACGTGAAAATGTATTATGGGAGCGGCGATGGGAATGGCTCTTTGGTGATTCGCGACAAGGGCAACAGTGCGCCGGTTAGCTGTCTCGTCCCTCTGAAGGACATTATACTTTGACGGCGGCGGCGGCGGTCGGTGATCCGGAGTTGTTTTTATGAGTGTAGGAAAGCGAATGAAATCGCTCTCTTGTTTATTTTCTTTTTGTCTTCTCTTTTCTGCGAGGTACATGGCTAGTTTTTGGTGAAAAATATTGGAAAGGCTCCGTTTGTTTGTGGGAGAACTACAGTAGAGGCCGGTTGCTAATGTTAACGAAAGTAACAGTTTTTGTTAACGAGCTAGATATCATCTAATCAAATTCCTTTATAATTTATGGAATATCGGTTTACTCTGAAAATGATGATATATATATATATACACAATTCCCATGTATCCTCAATGAAGATAGAAGTAGTGAGAAGATAGATGAGTGGATTGTTGCTAGGGTGGTAGGTATCATCGATGATGATATCCTTGTTCATCCTATCGTACTTCTAATTGTCGCTAATTTATGATTAGTGGGAGAATTATCTAAAAAATCATAAATTTATGCATAACAGTCAATTCAATTTTGAGTTTTTAAATTATGCTAATTTAGTCTTAAATTTTTTGTTGATTTGCCAATTTAGTCGTTCGGCCAATTTCGGCCGGAAATTGCCAACGTGGACGCTGGGCGACTTATGTGACATGATCGCCTGGCATTAATGTGAATGATTTTTAGAGTTATTCTGATTTTTTCTTGGGATAAGTGTACTAGAAGTCCTAAAACTTGTCAGGAAAGTACAATTGAGCCCTAAAACTTTCAAAAAATGCGATCAAGTTCTAAAACTTGTCACGAAAGTGCAATTAAGTCATAAAACTTTCAAAAAGTGCAATCAAGTCCTAAAACTTATCACGAAAGTGCAATCAAGTCCTAAAATTTATTACGAAGGTGCAATCAAGTCTTAAAACTTTCAAAATGTGCAATAATTGGAAGGACTTGATTGAACCAATTTAACAAGTTTTAGGACTTGTTTGCACTTTCGTGATAAGTTTTAGGACTTGTTTGCACTTTTTGAAAGTTTTAGGACTCAATTGCACTTTCTTAACAAGTTTTAGGACTTAATTGTACATTATGAAAGTTTTAGGACTCAATTGCACTTTCGTGACAAGTTTTAGGATTTTGAATGCACTTATCCCTTTTTTCTATTTTTGGCCTTTTCTTTTTGTCAATGGCCGCCTGCAAGGCCTGGACTCACTGGAATGATATTTGGAAAAATTTATATATTTTTCTAAAAATTTTCAAAAATCATCAATGTTAGCAACTTAGCGCTAGCCGGCCCACAACCGATCATGCCACGTAGGCCAATCGACGCTCGCATCAATAATTTTTAGTAAAAATTAGTTGGAATGACTAATTTGCCAAATGACCAAAATGTCTATGACTAAATTGTCACAATTTAAAGGTTTTATGATTGAATTTGTCGCTTTACAATAAGTTATGATTCTCTTCATGAATCTATGGGTCGCGAGCTGTTTTTACATTAATTTGGTTAGCAATTTATATAGTTATTTGTAGTATTGATCTTGCAGGTATTAAATGTTCAGGATTTTGCTTAGACTCTACAATTTGATTCGTTTTGTATGATTTTATGAGTATTCATACCTTGATACAATGGACTTTCGTAATAAAAAAATTTTGGTTTTTTTTGCATTAACTCTGATTGAATATGGTCTTGAATAGAATACACGTGAATTGACGAGCATCATTCTAGCAAAACAGGCATATTTTGGTCAATTGTTGCTGCGAGTAGTACTTTTGTCTAGCCCAATCGGGCATTTTACTATGATGGTAGCGTAATCTAGCCTGAATTAGTCGCAACTTGAACGATGTGCAATTTTCGAAGGGTATCTCATGGGTCGTAACTTACCTCGATCGGACGTTATTTACTTAATTGGGCAATAACTTGCCTTGATGCGTCGTGATTCATTGGAATTCTTCTCGCAATATCGATAGTATCTATAGTTAGCAACTACTCAGTAAATTTAACATCAAATTATCGTAATCAGCCCTTTTCTTTTAGATAGATCGTATTAATTTACTATATGTCACCGCGAATTTAAATTAAATTTCTTGAGTTACCCTTTCGAGCATATAGAGTACATTTCGAGCGTGTAAATTTACTCTTTTTCGTTCCTAATTAATTCCGATTGTACTGCTATATATCGCGAATGATAAACGGAGTTCGTGAAATAAATTTTAGTTTTTGTGAAAACTGTCTATTTAATTTTGTAAGTGTTTTTATTCATAGTAACATTCCATGTTGCACGATAAATAACAAATGAAATTCGTAAAATTGCAAGTGGTACCCAAATCGTATTTTGCAGTGGAGGACACGAGAAGGACGCATTTCCACTATCAACCCCCCCAGCCTTCACCGAATTCCCACTCGGATCTGACAAAGTCGTACATCATCATCGCCCTTTCATCTCTCTCTCTCTCTCTCTCTTCTCTCTCTCTACGCATCATCGTTCATCCGAAGACTGGTTACGCCATGCCATTTCGTCGCCCCAGATCTGCAAATGCGCCGCCGGCTCACTGACCGCCGCCGCCGCCGTCCGCCACACCAATGTCGGCCTCCGCCTCCCAATCCCTCGGCGGCCAGTCCCGCTCCGGCCGCGTGATCGGCCCCTCCCTCGACAAGATCATCAAGAACGCCGCGTGGAGGAAGCACTCCCACATCGTCTCCGCCTGCAAATCCGCCCTCGACAGGCTCGAGACCGCCGCCCCGGCTGATCCTCCCTCTCCGCTGCTCGGCCTCTCCCTCGCCGACGCCGATTTCGTCCTCCAGCCCCTGATCCTCGCCCTCGACTCCGCCTACGGCAAGATCGTGGAGCCCGCGCTCGAGTGCGCCTTCAAGCTCTTCTCGCACAACCTCGTCCACGCGGAGATCCGCGACGGCGCCGGCTCTGGCGATCAGGCGAGCGCCGGGGGCGGAGGCGGAGGCGGAGGAGGAGGAGGTCCGGGCTCGATTCTGAGGCTGTTGCAGGGCGTGTGTAAGTCGGGCGGGATCGGGGAGGAGGCCATCGAGCTCGGCGTGCTCAGGGTCGCGCTGGCGGCGATACGGTCGCCTTGCATTTTGATCCGAGGCGATTGCTTGGTGCATATCGTCAAGACTTGTTACAATGTGTATCTCGGTGGCCAGAATGGGACTAACCAGATCTGTGCCAAGTCTGTTCTGGCGCAGATCGCGGTGATCGTTTTCAGTCGGGTCGAGGAGGACTCGATGGCTGTTAGTTTCAAGACGGTGTCTGTTAGTGAGCTTTTGGAGTTTACGGATAAGAATTTGAACGAAGGGAACTCCATACATTTTTGTCAGAATTTTGTTAATGAGGTCGTTGATGCCAACGATGGGACTGCTGTGAATAAGAATTTGGAATTGCATTTGTCCTCAGACGTGCAGAATGGGGATGTCTCTGAGGTGAAAGAGGGCGAGAAAGGCGAATTGGGCGATGCAGAGTCGACTGACGGAGCTAAACCAGGTGGCGGCAGTAAGATTAGAGAAGATGGGTTTCTTCTTTTTAAGAACTTGTGTAAACTGTCGATGAAATTCTCGACTCAAGAGCAGACCGATGATCAAATACTTTTGAGAGGGAAAATTTTATCTTTGGAGCTGCTAAAGGTCGTCATGGACAATGGTGGCCCTATTTGGCGCACAAACGAGAGGCAAGCGACAGTACTTTTACATTTCAGCCAGCCTTCTCAGCTTCAGTAACATAGGCACCTAATGTCGGCAAAATTGCTGTAGAATTCGAGTCAAATTTCTCATTCTTCAGCCTGCCGTGTCTTTATCTGTAAACTTTTAGTATACCGTGGCCAATAGAGAGATAGAATCATGAACTCCACCGTACTTGGCAAGAAATCTGCTTTCTCCGTTAGAGTGATTTAGATTCAATTACGATGTTCTAGTAATTAGACCACATCAACGTTTAAATTTTTTTTAACTTCTTGGTTATCGACCAATGACTGTAATATTGTGTACCCTAAGCTCTATTACAGTCTACGGGACTCTCAATACCTCTTTTGTATTGTGGTTTTATTCTGGTCTGTAATTTTTATCCTTTAAAAAATTGTTACGCACAAAAATTGATAATTGGTTACGGGGTTCGAGGGCTTATGCAAAATATAATAGCTGACTATACAACAGGACAAAATTCCCTGCAATCGTGGGCAATTCTTTTTTTAATAATGTGTAAGGTGCAAAGGATTTCCTCCTGGTGTCTGCAACTCACATGTTATCTAGCCAAGACAGCGATAGAGGGATATATACATTTAATTGCCTGCCTAATCTTGCCCTAAACTAGTAGCGTAAAGTATAAATGTGCAGCTGTTGACTTTATTTTAAACCATTCAGATTATTAATTGATGTACACCAACATATTATTTGAAAGCTTAGCTTTTCAATTGTTATGTGTGAGTACTGTTAACACTGTTACATTCTTTTCTTTTTTTTTTTACGTGCACTATTACATGGGAGTTTTGTTATGTTGTGGGATACTCCATTGTTTGGTTTGCAATGGAAAATGATAAGGAACGGGGAGAAGATAGTAGTTATCCAATTTTGAAAATACTGTAGAGATTGGATTTTCAGGATACAACCTAGCGACATGTGCTGTTAAGTAGCATGTTTGGCCATCAAGTATGTGCACATATGCAGTTATAAGCTTCCTGATAGTTGAGTGTGAGTTTCTAACGAGGCTTCAATTCCTTTCCTTTGTGCAGGTTTCTCAGTGCCATTAAGCAGTTTCTCTGCTTATCATTACTAAAGAACAGTGCATTGTCAGTCATGGCTATTTTCCAGCTTCAGTGTTCTATTTTTATGACCCTCTTAATAAAGTTCAGATCAGGTTTGAAAGCAGAAATTGGAATATTCTTTCCCATGCTTGTGCTTCGGGTGCTTGAGAATGTCCTGCAGCCTAGCTTTTTACAGAAAATGACGGTTCTCAACCTATTGGAGAAGATATCTCAGGATTCACAGATTATCATTGATATCTTTGTTAACTACGACTGTGACTTGGATGCCCCAAACATATTTGAAAGGTACTACTTACTAGATATGTCTGAAAATTCTATTATTTTTAAGGGTCTCCTTATGATATGAGCGAATTACAGCTGATTGGAGCAATAAGTTTGGCCATCGACTCCTAATAGATTCTTTAGTCATTGGTTTTACTGGAGGCACTTGGCTGATTTGTTCTTTAGAGGCTCGAGCAGAATTCGTTTA